TTGGCACTATTTCAGATGTCCCCACTTTTCCTCCCTTTGTCCCCCTTCACCCAGTCCCCACTCCTGCTCCCCTCAGGCCATCACCACACTGTTGTCTGTGTCAGAAATTGAAATCTAAGTTATGTAAAGTGCTCCAGCATCCATTGGTAGTAAGGAAAAGGGACTTTAGAGCAATCTGGCATCAAACATACTTTTCAGGCTATCTCTTTTAAGACTTTATCTCATTTCCCCTCACCTCCCCCTTCCCACCCAATAGAATATACTATTAACTAGCTAGTAACCATTTTTAAGGTAATTTATTGGGTTTCCCTGCCCTCTATCCTTGTTTAGAGAAAAAGCACTTCACAGAGCAACACCCTGTCTTTTTCTCCGCAGCTCTGAAGTTCATCAGCTCTAAATCACTGTTTCCCTGCCTTTAGGTACTTAATAATGTCCACATATTACTACTATAATGAATTGTCACAAACTTAGTGCCTCAAAACTATACCAATTTATTTTCTTGCTGTTTTGGAGGTCAGAAGCCCAAATTCAGTTTCACTTGGCTGAAGTCCAGTGTCAGCAGGGCTGGCTCCTGCAGGTTCCGAGGGAAGAATCCATTCCCTTGCCCTTTTCCAGCTTCCATGTTCCTTGACTTGTGGTCCTTCCTCCATTTTCAAAGCACATCACTCCAATCTCTGCTTTATCATCACCTCACCTTCTCTTCTGCCTCCTGTTATAAGGATACTTGTAATTACATTGTTGGACCAGGATAACCTCTTCAACTCAAAATCTTTCATTTAATCACATCTGAAAAACCCCTTTTGTCACATAACATAGCATATTCCCAGGGTCTGAGGATCAGGATGTAGACTCTTGGGGGTTATTTATTATTCAGCCTATGGCATGGCTGTTGGGCAATCACTGCAGTATGAGATTACATAGTTTTACTCTTTAAAAATATCTGTTTGGTATTAAAGATACTTGCTTAGAAAAAGCTCACTTTTTAAAGTTTGAAACATTGAAATAGAACAGGACAAGGTGCTTATTACATTCTATGTGGCACAGGCATTTTCATACCTGTCCACTCAGATAATTTCATTGGCCTTATCATCATCTACTTTGAAGAAGGTTTCTAGTGTACCTCACGTTCCCACTTAAAAGGAATAAATACCTTAAAATGTCAAATTTCATAAGATTAATTTTGAAAATGTCTGTGTTGCTATTGTCAGCTTTTTTACATATTTTACATAAGTTAACATTAGTGCATAGATTCTGAAAATGTGCTGACATATAATGTTAAGATACAAATAATTATGATTCTCTATGATAAAGTTCAAAGTAAAAGTATGCTTTAATTTAAAATAATTCTTAATAAAGGAAATTTAATTTTTAAAGTTTCTTTCACTATCTACATCAACTAAAAACCTGTACCATTGAAAAAAAGGGGAGGGGGGCGGAAAGCAAGGTGTCATAGATTACAAGTACAGAATTGAGTTTAGCTATCACCCGGCAATTGTGTTTAAAACAATCAACTTGTAGAAAATTTAATTCATTAACTGTTTGAAAAAGTGTTAAGAGTTTTATCTTAACTCGAACTAGTCATCATCAAAAATTGATTCATCTCCACCAAAATGTGGAGATCAGGAGCATAAAATCCAGATTCTTTCATTATAAATATTACTTACTGTTAATGCATCAGTTTGTAGATAAATCAAAGTATCAATCATGGTTTAAGATTCCCTCAACTAGCCTTTTCAGCAAAATTAAAGAAATCTCCTAGGTAAAAATGTCACCATGCTCTGAACACATGTAATTTTATCAAGGTTTGATGCTAAATTTATAATCCCTGCTTTTTAAAATTTCAGAATCAAAGCCATGTTGATAGCAAACATTCTTTCATTAGCTGGAGCTCTCTTGATGGGATTTTCGAAAATGGGACCATCTCACATTCTTATCATTTCAGGAAGAGCTGTATCAGGACTCTACTCAATAGTCCTATGCTAATAGGAGTATTTAGAGGGAGATATAAAGAAATATACTTAGAAAAATTCTCCTTGATTCAACCACTTCAAGTATCAATAGTCCTATGCTAATAGGAGTATTTAGAGGGAGATTTAAAGAAATATACTTAGAAATATATTTCCTTCTCCCTGATTCAACCACTTCAAGTATTTTTTTTTTTTAGATTATTTATCCTTGGCCATTTCTCGCGTCTGAGCAGAAACACACACACACACACACACACACACACACTCAGGGAATATATTGGGTCTGATGTGGCACCACAAAAGGGATAGGCAATAGCATGAAGTTAAAGTCCTGAGTCGGGGAGGTTTGGGACAAGTAAATGGGAGATGTGAAGCTGTCTTCTTTCCCATGGCAACAACATCATTTCTAGTCATGTGACCACAGACAAATTATTCTGTTTCCTTCTCTTCAATAAAGAGAATAGTATCTACCTTGTAGGGTGCTTGTGAGAATCCATGTCAAATGTTCAGCATAGAATCTGACTACGGTAAACTACCAAGAAATGCTAGCTATTGTTATTACTCCCAAGGTGCTGTAGGCAGTGGAAGATCGATACATCCAGAATCTCTAACTCGGCCTTTGTAGTCTATCTGGCCTCCTATGTATTTGCCTCTTCTATCTGGAAAGACATTGATACTGGGCCCATCTTTCAGACTATGCAGCCTAGCCCTGTCAGATTTCAGACCTGCTGGGTGAAGGGTTAAAGCAGCAGTGACCACAGAGAGAAGGAATCAGGAAGAAGCAATTCATAGAGGAGTTCAGAATGAAGGATGGATGCTCCTCCTATGAAGTTTCCATCTAAATTACTGGAATCATTATTTCTTGGGAACAACTTTTCGAATTTTCAGAGGCAACTAATCAGCAGAGGCCTGAACAACAGGGAGAATCTCTCACTCTCTAAAACAGCCAAATCTTTAGGTTCTCAATACCAGCGATGCCCTAATAGTTCTGAGCCAAGGTTTTAACCCATTGTCCCAAACTGTAGCAATTTCAAGTCACTAATTGGGGGTGGGAGAGATGGGGCAAGGGAACAAAATGGTGTATCAAATATTTATAACACTTTTACCTGCAAAGGGGAAAAACTATAATTCCATGCATCTTCAATGACCAGTTGAAATAAAAGTCTAAAATTATTTAATTAAATGTCTCTTTTTATTATTTTCAATGTTAAAACAAATAACTGAAAGTCAGGATAGCTTTATTAAAGTGAAAAGTCAACCCACATGTGGAAAGAGCTTTGGGTTCATACTGAATCAATTCTGGCACTGTTTCTGTCTGGTCTTAGAAATGTTAATTGAATATGTGCTTCAGTTTCCTCTTCTGAAAAATGCAAATGATAACACTATCTAAAAGTTCCAAATCTTATTTTTCTTTCTCTTTTCTCCATTTTTAAAAATAGAATGAAAGCAACAACAAAATAGAACTGCCTTATGACCCAGCGATTTCACTCCTGGGTATTTAGCCAAAGAAATCTAAAACACGAATTCATAAAAATATGTGCACCCCTGTGTTTATTGCAGCATTATTTACAATAGTCAAAGATATGGAAGCAACCCAAGTGCCCATCAACAGATAATTGGATAAAAAAGATGTGGTAAATATATGCAATGGAATATTACTGGGCCATAAAAAATAATTAAATCTTCCCATTAGCAACAATATGGATGGACCTAGAGTATTGTGATGAGTGAAATAAGTCAGTCAGGCAAAGACAAATACCATATGATATCACTTATATGTTGAATGTAAAGAACAAAATGAGGGAACAAACCAAACAGAAACAGACTCAGAGATATTGAGAACAGACTGATGGTTGCCAGAGGGGACTGGGTGAAAAAGATAAAGGGATTAAGTACAAATTGGTAGTTACAAAGTAGTCACGGAGATGTAAAGTAGAGCATAGGGAATATAATCAATAATATTGTAATAACTATGTATGGTGCCATGTGAGTACTAGAATTATCCTGGGTATCACTTTGTAAATTATATAATTGTTTGGCAACTCTGCTGAACACCTGAAACTAATATAAATTAATATTGAATGTCAAAAAACAAATGTTATCTTTGCAAATGCAGTGTAAAATCTTTACAAAATTTTAGCTTAAGTTATAAATAAGACTGATTAATAGAATAAAATTTGTAAATTAAAATGAAAATTTCAAGAAAAACCTATGTTTTAAATTTTCTAACTCTAATAAATTAAAATTAAAGGAAAGGTTTAAAAAAATAAAGTACAGTAACAAATACAAAATCTTTTTGGTAAAATTGAAAAGAAATTCTATAAATATATTGTGAAGCATATCACAAGCAGAGCCCCCTTCCACCTCTCTATACCACCCACCACTCTAACAGTGATCTTGAAGCAACTCCACATTGTGGAAATTCAGATAGAGCTTGTAGCTCTCATACTAGCACTCTATTACACTGTTATCTTAGGTAAGTCATTGCTCACCTCGATCAAGTAATGATGTTGGCATAGATATGTTCTAATTCCCTTTAATTCCATGAGTCTAGATTAAGAATATTATTATTTTTTAAGAATATTATCACATTATTCATTCTCTTTTCTTAAGATCTAAAAGCATTATAATGTAAGCTATATACTAACAAAATAGATTTTTTTAAAAATTGAATAAGACAATAAATAATTGCCAAATACTTGACTAACAATTTCTTTCTATTCTTATATCCAACTACAACTTTATTTGGAATCTATCAACAAATATTCTTTGCATAACCTCTGTCTATGGTTGAGAACAAGGGTTCTTCCTTTCAACAGACTCAGAAAGAGACTTTCAATCAGAGTATTGACTATATGTAAGCCAAATTAATGTTATTGAGATAGTCCTGGCTTTAACATTTATGTTCATGTCTCATGCAGGGCTAATTTCAGGCCTGGTTCCAATGTACATTGGTGAAATTGCTCCAACCACACTCAGGGGTGCTATTGGCGCTCTTCACCAGCTGGCCATTGTCACGGGCATTCTTATTAGTCAGGTAAAAACTCTCATCCCTTACTTCAACCATCCTCTACTTTACCCAACTTTTCCCTCCATGACTGTCCACTCTCACTGTAGACAAACACAGAAAAACAAACAAACAAATAAAACAGTTCCACCAATGGTAGTGTAGGTCATATAGAGGCATAGACATTTTAGCTCAAAGCTAAATTATTACTACTCCAGTCCTCACTTTTCCTCTTGGAGTTGCGGTTGGAATGGCCCTGGAGGTGACCTGGAAGCCAAATCTTGAACTTCTGGAGCTATTCTAAAATTAAATTATTCCATTTAGATTTGAAGGAATAGGCAACTTCAAATTTTTGGCTGTCTGGGTTTCCTTTGTTTTGAGTGTCTTACTTGGAAATTTAGTATGTAAATGATGACCAGTTCTTGTCAAGCTGGCTCTATCTTTCTCTTCTACCCTGTGGTCTCAGAAGGAATCCTTGGAACCCCAAACCTATGACTATCCAGAGGGTAAACTACTGCAATAGGGATCACAAAGCTGTTCTCATTAGAGTCATTGCTCTATCTGTATAATCCCATTCTACTTAAGTTCTGGGAAATCTAAGAATAAATTTTTAACAAAGGTCCAAAGTCATGCATAATTTTTTATGTTGTTTTAGATATCAAATAAGTTGTTAAAAGTTTGTTTGATTCCCATCCTAAATGTCCCATAGGAGTTCATGAAAACAAACCTAGGTGAATTCTTTGTAAAATAAATAGTCCCTAATTTAGATAAGGTAAGATACACTAGTAATAGTTTTCATTTTAATGCACACTTGAATCAAAATTATCAGGGATTGCTATTAAGTAATTAATATGGTTATTCAACAGATTATTGCAGAAGACAGATCCAAAGTGTTCTGTGGTTGATATGCTTTCCCTACCTTTTCAGATTGTTGGCCTTGACTTCATCCTGGGCAATCGTGAGCTGTGGCACATCCTGCTTGGTCTATCTGCTGTGCCAGCTGTCCTACAGTCTCTGCTGCTCTTCTTCTGTCCAGAAAGTCCCAGATACCTTTACATCAAGTTGGATGAGGAAAACAAAGCAAAGAAAAGTAAGTCTATGGGTGGTTTAACCTTCTACCTATTGTTTTGGAACTATCAGCTAATGAGAAACAGTGGGTGTGAATGGTTACTCATGAAATCAGTCCTAGTGCTTTCCAAATGAAGTCAGTGATTACATGGAAGAAGAGCATGCAAGATCGCTTTAATATGACTGGTACATGCCATTTTTCACCCAAAGATATTCACTCAAACCCAAATCAGAAGCCTACCTGCAGAGTACTGGACTCAACCATAGGCTTCTAAAAGACCTTTCCAGCATTATGCTTCAGGGATAATGAGGACCATAGTTCTCTTCATCATAAGATGAAGCCAAATGTTCTGCTTTTTTGAAATAAAAAAGTAGGATTTAATTTAACAAAAAAGAATTCCCAAAGAGCATGTTATTAAGTAATAGAGAGGCTATGCAGAACTGTAGCTCTTTCGTTTACCTACTAAATATAAATTATTTTTTTTACCTGAGTTGTGTAAATGTAATCATTTTGGGGGACAGGTTTGAAAAGACTCAGAGGAGGTGTTGATGTCACCAAAGACATCGCTGAGATGAGAAAAGAAAGGTCAGAAGCATCAAGTGAACAGAAAGTCTCCATAATTCAGCTCTTCACCAATTCCAGCTACCGACAGCCTATTCTGGTGTCATTGATGCTGCACATGGCTCAGCAGTTTTCTGGAATCAATGGGGTAAGTTTAAGATCACCCCCCAATTCTTTTTTTTTTTTTTACAAATCTCTCCTTTTATTATCATAATTATCCTTTAGTTGGAAAGCAAGCAGTAAAAACTATTCAGACAGCATCATTATTACTTTTAGGCAGAAGAGGGTAAGAGGTTAAAAACTTTTGAGGTTAAAATAGGCACTGAAAGAGACAAGCTTCAGGTCTCAGGAAGGCCAGCCTTAAGAGCAGGATTAATGTATAAATATTAACAGAATCATATGGTGGCTTTATTCTCCTTGCTACTTAAAAAAAGGCAACGTGATGGTCTGCATCAGATGGGGAAAACCAAGTCCACACTTTGTCCTGAATCAACAACCACCACGTGAGTCTTCTTGGTTAAGTCATTTGCACCCACAGTGACAGAATAGGTCCCTGGATATACTTCTATGTAGAGGTCCTTAGAGATGTTCTCAGCAGGCTGGGGTGCCTCTAGCGTACACTCTGTGGCTGGACAGATGCCTCCAAAACCCAGGTCACCCCCCAATTCTTAAGAGCAAAGTGAATTAAGATAGAGCAGGAAAGGGGTATAAGTTTAAATAGCTAACAGACATTTTAAAATGTTAACATCACATCTTACTATAAGCAAATATTGCGTGAGCAATAATTTTCTGTTTTGCCTCATCTGCTTTCTAAAATTAGCTTACAATTTTTAAAAATGTCAACAACCAATGGTATTGTATGTCTATTAAGATGAAGGTAAAAAGGCAAAAGTCATAATAAATACAAAAGAGGGGAAAAGAGAGTAATTATATCAAAGAAAACTAAATTACAAAGGGCTTCTAGAGTTGAGTATCAAATTTGGGATTTATAATAGCCTAGGCCAGTGGTCGGCAAACTCATTAGTCAACAGAGACAAATATCAACAGTACAACGATTGAAATTTCTTTTGAGAGCCAAATTTTTTAAACTTAAACTATATAGGTAGGTACATTGTTATTAACTTAATTAGGGTACTCCTAAGGCTTAGGAAGAGTCACACTCAAGGGGCCAAAAAGCCACATGTGGCTCGCAAGCCACAGTTTGCCGACCACGGGCCTAGGCTAAAAGAGTCCATGGCCCCCTCTATTTAAATGAAGTATACCAGATATCCAGATGCCAAAAAGTTTCCTGCCATCCAAGAAACTTTTACTCTATTTGGGGAGACAGCACATGCACACAAAATAAACAATAAAATGAACTGATATGATATGGTGAGTGAGGGTGGTAGAAAAGACATGATTGAAAAACATACTGAGTATTAAACTTGCTGGCTTTGGGGTTGTGAATTGAACTCCTTGCATTATGCAGACTAAAATTGATTTACCGGCAATTAGTTACTGGAAGAAAATAATTAAGCATTTGATAAGAAACTAAACAAAGAAAAGAACAAAGCTGATTCCATTGCTGTTAGAAATGTGATTTGGGCTTCCTCTATAGTGAGCCAATCTCAGATCCACAAAGGACACCTTGGGAGTGACTGAATGGTGGGCAGAGACTTGGAGGAGGCAAAGAAAGCAATGCCTGTGAAGTGAACCTCACTCCACAGGCTGAATACTGCTCTGCTGTGGTCTTCGTCCTCTTTTAAGGGTCCTTGATGTTTCTTTTTATCTAATACTCTTTATAACTTTGGGGCTCACAGACCAAATTGCTATCCCCTATCTCAGCTCTGCCTGTACATTCCATGGCACCATACTTAATCTCTCTGAACCTCTCTGCGTTAGCTTCCATCCCAGTGCCTGACTTAGAAGCGTCCAGGAAACACTGGACTTGAGGCTGTTGGGCGGCCTAAAAACAGTGGGACAGTGTGCAGTGTGCTGTAAGCCACTCCTCGCTGAGCCCGGCCTGCACCGGCCTCCTGCAGCAGCCCTGTCTGCAGAAAGAGGGCATGTTATGTGGGGAAAGAATGACAGGGGCTGGGAGGACAACAAAATGAACTAAAAGGCTGTTATAAAAGTAAAAACGTAACAAAGTAATAAAGGCTGTTAGGTTGTGAACCATATTGTTATTAACTTAATTAGGGTACTCCTAGGGCTTAGAAGAGTCACACTCAAGGGGCCAAAAAGCCACATAAAAGACTGTTATAAAAGTAAAAACATAACAAAGTAATAAAGGCTGTTAGGTTGTGAACCAGATTTCTCTATCTCCACTGAAATTAATGTGTCTGTGATGGTAGAAGTTGGAGGAGTTTCCTTGAGAACATAAGGTGATATTTAGGGCGATTTAGGAAAGCAAGGAAGGATTTATTTCCTAATCTGGGTATTGGTTATACAGGTGTGCTCACTTTGTGAAAACTATTTGAGCTGTAACTTATGACATGTGTACTTTTATGTATGTATTGTATACTTTAACAAAAGGGTTAAAAACTTTAAAAAAACACACACAAAGAAAATGCATATGCAGAGTTTTCAGCAAAATACAAAAGGACTTGTAAGCAAACGGAAGTTTTAAACACTGAAGGGTAATTGTGGTTGTTCCTAATCTGGGTATTGGTTATACAGGTGTGTTCACTTCGTGAAAACTATTTGAGCTGTAACTTATGACATGTGTACTTTTATGTATGTATTGTATACTTTAACAAAAGGGTTTAAATTTTTTAAAAAACACAAAGAAAATGCATATGCAGAGTTTTCAGCTAAATATAAAAGGACTTTTAAGCAAACAGAAGCTTTAAACACTGAAGGGTAATTGTGGTTGCTCCTTCCCTAGAAGGAGAGGTCAGATAAAATCTTTAGGAAGTTCTTCTAGGGACCATGGTTTCATAGAAGCACCTGAAGACAAACAACTTAAAATATTTCTTGCTTTAAAGCCGTCAATGCTAGGCTTCTTGATTAAGGCTAAACTGTTATCACTTTGCAGATATTTTACTACTCAACCAGCATTTTCCAGACGGCTGGACTCAGCCAACCTGTTTATGCAACCATTGGAGTTGGTGCCATCAACACAGTTTTCACTGCTCTTTCTGTAAGTAAAATACCCTAACTTATTCTGCTTGTTTCTCAGTCTAGAAATGGGAGTTAAAAACAAAACAAACCCTTGTGATCTAAAAGTGATCAATAACATTGTCCTCATGCTCTGCGTATGTAAAACCAAGGAGATCATGGGAAGAGTCCTATATGTGAATAACCAGCCACTGTATTGAGATGAGGCATCACTGAGCAGATTATCTGGTTCTCTCTGGTGAGAATCATTTTCTTTATTGGCCAGTAATCACTCATTCATGAATTAATAACTCACTTGGGGACACAGGACTTACTCCTTGGGTTCCTTCTCCTTTGCTCTATACTTAAGCCCCTTGGATTTCGCCAATAGCTTGTCATTTCCCTCAACATTGGGTCTTGTACCTAGATTCCTCTCCTTTCGTGGTTGAAATTCTTCTTTAAAAAAATAAATGTGGTCCTCTCAATTAAAAAGCAAGCCACTAGTAAGATTAAACAAACTCAACAAAGTCTTATGATAGGCCATTGAGTGGAGCTTCCAAGTAGCTCACAAGGCCATGGCTTGTGGTGATGCACCTGTTGTGTGGTATTATGAGAGGATGAAATAGAAGTGGTGTATAAGTTGAAATGTTATTGTTATTTTTGAAATTTTATTTTTTACAAATGTCAAATGTTATTTATTTTGGGAAAAAACATTTCCAACAAGGGGAAGAGGTTGTGTACTTTTCATAAGACCAAATACCTTATATAAGGAATGACTTAGTATCTTGATAATAATAATATTTAACATAGCAATCTAAGAATTAAAGCACACAGATAACAATAACAACAACAACCAAAAAAAAAGAAAAACTTCCCAACTAATGTAACTCACTCTAAAATGAGGGTAATTGGGCTTATTTTTATCTTGGAATGCAGGATGTTCAAAAAGCTTGTGCTTTTCACAATACTATACTCAATATACTTTAGTCTCTTGTTTTTCATTCTCTGCACAGGGACTTTTAACTATTAACTTAGGGTGGTCAATAAATTATAGCCTGGCCACCTAGATCAAAAGGCAGCTTTGTCCAGACCTTGGAAAAGCGGGGGAAGAGCAAATAACATGGGAACACCAGTGGGTATGAAGACTTGCCTTTAGAGATAATGCCTTTTCAAGCCAAAGGGCTACTCTGAACCAATGAAAGCCTGGTACTGGGATGCCATCCAAGGGACTATTTGCATTCTTTTGTCTCCTGAGATAATATTTTTTTACAAATCCCCCTTCGACATGTTTTTCTAATATAGAGATTATGATTAAAACATTTTATGTGTAACAGGATTTGCTATGTAAAGCATCAAGTTGTCAAGATTGGGTAACCCAAATTCTAAGAGTGCCTAAAAGGAAACTACTGCAGAATTTCATTTTTTGTCTCCCCCCTCCCCCGCCCCCGCCAACCCCTTTGGAGTGGGAACAATGTCTTGATTATTTTGAATACGTATACCTCTATAGACTTTATCCTTTTATTCAGTGAAAGTTTTTGAACAAGTGACAACTTTTAAAAAATCATCCCTAATCAGAAGTCTAATTACAAATCATCCTCCAGGACTGTAAATAACATTTAAAATTTTTAATTATATATATCTTTGAAATTTGTTTTAAAGTACAAAACGATAGCCTCTCAGTCACCCAGTTGCTCTCCCCCAAATTAACCAATGTTAACAAATCCATGTATCAAAATAGATATGCAAATAGGAATATCCTATATAATAAAACCCTAATATGCAAATCAACCGAACAGCGGAACGACTGGTCACTATAACGCACACTGACCACCAAGGGGCAGACGCTCTGTGGGGAGTGGGCCTAAGCAGGCAGGCAGACATCCCCCAAGGGATCCCGGACTGTGAGAGGGCACAGGTCAGGCTGAGGGACCTCCCCCCCCCCCCAGTGCACAAATGTCATGCATCGGGCCTCTAGTGTACTGATAATATATTAACGTTTCAACAACTTGGAAGAAACATAATCCATCTTTTTTTTTTTCTGAATGAGTATTTTGGAAAAGAGAGAGACTTTCCTGACTCCATTTTAAATGATGTTCTACATTCCATGTTTTCTTCCACACTAATGGGCTGGGAGAAGAGAGCCTGTAATCTTAAGAAAGAAAAACAAAACAGGAAGAAATATGATAGGAACAGGAAGGAATGCTGGGTCTGGGGGAGAAGCAGTGGCTACGAAACTCTAAGTAGGCTTCCAGGATCTGAGTGGCGCGCATTGTCTGGGAAAAAGGGGAGAGTTAAGGTCAGCATACATCTCCAGCCCCTGACCAAGTCTCACCCTGTGTCACATTCCTCCCTGCGCGCTCACCTGGCATCAAAAAGGGAGTCTGACTCAATTTTCAAGGCATTAGTTTTAGAGCTTATTATCCTGTTGGTAATAAATGTTCAGAAACAGAAGGGGAAAAAAAGACATAATAAAAGCCCTTGTTCCTAAATAAATCCTTCCATTTTCTTGATAGTCTGACATGGTGTCATCAAGTTAACTTTGAAAGTCATGATTAAAGAGTCAAATAGAGAGCGAGAAATTTTATGAACCTCTATTTTTTTTTCTCTCACTTCCTTCTCAACAACTAAATGTGGGCTCTGTGCTTATCATCCTGAAATGATTTTAAACTCTGATTACAAAATGCCTCAGATGAAAGGGGCTTTCACTGTAGGTGAAAAGAAATATCTCTCAGATATTTTCAGAGCCAGAGCTCATTGTGCTAAGGGTATTTGATTGCTATAGATATACATGGTGGATTTATGAACCTAGCCAATTTACTCACCAAAGTGAGAAAATATGACAGGTAGTTTTTCATGTGTGTGATTCACCAACCTTGCCAGTCTCCTAAGGATCAAGTAAGACTCTATCCAACAAACTCTGGTCTCGGCTAATTGTAAATCTTAACCATTAATGCAAAGGTCCCCAAGCCCAAAAGAATCAGTGACATATCTCCAGACTTAGAAAAAGAAAGCACTTTAACCTTTTGCTTTAAAGTCTTACCTTTTTCCAATGAATAGTTCATTCCCAGCACCAGGTACATTTGGGCACACCAGAAAAATGAAGACCTGGCTATTTTGGTAAAGTTATCAAATTCCATATGTTGCCAGGTGTGTGGTCATAATTTGACTTCATTCGCAGTGAGAAAGTTGGATGAGAATAGTTGACACCTCAACAGTTGAACTGTTTCAGGTGTCTGCAGTGCACAAACCCCCAGGAGAGAAACAAATGTCATTTTAAATATATAGGAAATCCATTGGAAGATATCTAAGATATATGGCCTCTTAATATTGTGCCCAAAGTGAGAATCATAGAGCGGTGGTAACACTGTGGTTCTTTCTCTAGAATGCCATGTTCAAATCACTGTCACTAAATGAACCAAGTATCTATACTAATAAAAGGGTAATATGCTAATTAGACTGGATAGACTGGAAGTCTTCCAGACGTCATTCCAGACATCCTTCCTGACAAAGCCGGGGCCCAGACAAAGCCGCCCAGGGTCCCAGGTGCCTGCCTGGGCAAAGCTGGCCCGGGTCCTGGGTGCCTGCGGCCAGCCAGAGGGAGGGAAGCCCGGATCCTGGTTGCCTACGGCCAGCCGGAGGATGGAAACCTAGGTCACAGGGGCTGAGGCAGGGGCAGTTAGGGGCGATCAGGCAGGCAGGCGAGCAGTTAGGGGCATCGGGAAGGCATGCAGAGTGGTTAGGGGCAATCAGGCAGGCAGGTGAGCGGTTAGGAGCCAGTGGTCCCAGATTGCGAGAGGGATATCCAACAGCTGGTTTAGGCCCGATCCCTGCGGACATCCCCCGAAGGGTCCCAGATTGCGAGGGGGTGAAGGCCAGGCTGAGGGGACTCCCTCCCCCCTGCACAAATTTTGTGCACCGGGTCTCTAGTTTGTTAATAACCTCTAGTCACTGAGACCAGCTCTGCTACCTCAGGCAAGAGTCACTCCCTTTCTCAGCTCCACATCAGTAAAATGGGATAATAAAACTGCCGCTTTCCAGCTTTATGGGTTAAAATGACCTCTTTGTCAGTCAAAACTCTTTAAGCATCAAGCCTACATGTTTTAAACCTTTCCTAGGTGTTCCTCGTGGAGAAGGCGGGGCGACGCTCTCTGTTTCTGATTGGAATGAGCGGGATGTTTGTCTGTGCCGTCTTCATGTCTGTGGGACTCGTACTCCTGGTGAGTTTGGTGCCACTGACATTTTTGGTTACCATAGGATAGCAATCCTGTGCTCCATGTTGAAGTGCTTTGGATGTCAAAAAAAAACAACAAAAAACCTTGAGAATGATTTACGAAGTAAAGCCAGAGAAACAGCATATAATGCAAAGGAGAAATGTAAAGAAGAGATAACTAGTTTGGGAAGGGGGTGGAGGGGTTAAAGACTGAACATCCCCAAGTAAGTTGCCCCCATTACCCAGGGAGGCGGTGTAGCAAATGCTCAGAAGGCAGGCTCTGGGGTCAACCCCAAGCCGGCTGCAATGCTGGCTCTGCTAGCAGCGGCCTGTGTGACCTTGGGCAAGGATCTGGCCCTCCCAGCCCAGCACCCTCAAGCACTGCTTCCCATGCACCCTCCCTAGCACCCTAGGTATTAGTAGGAGCAAAGGTCACTGGATCCTCACCCTGCCTCTTTCACAGGAAGAGGGTGACTAAGAATCCTATAAAATCCTAATCAGGATTTCCCTGTAACAGGGCTCAATAGATTTAAGGATGACTCAGGCTAGAACAAGCTTGTCTCCAACTAGAATAACTTGGACTTAATTGCACATAATCACCAGGAAGAGAGCCCGGTTACCGTTACACTCAGGGGGGGTCTACCTAGCTAAAGGAAGAAGCGGCCCACGATCCCAGTTCTACTGTTGTTTTGTTTTTCTCAGAATAAATTCGCTTGGATGAGTTACGTGAGCATGGTAGCCATCTTCCTCTTTGTCAGCTTCTTTGAAATTGGGCCCGGCCCCATCCCCTGGTTCATGGTGGCCGAATTTTTCAGTCAAGGACCACGCCCTGCGGCTTTGGCCATAGCGGCATTCAGCAACTGGACCTGCAATTTCATCGTCGCCCTGTGCTTCCCATACATCGCGGTAAGCAGCCCAAGGTCGTGCAAACTTACTTTGCCGAGAAGATAGGGCCCGAAGACTGCTAACTGGGACTCTGTTTCTTCTCCACGCAGGAGTTCTGTGGACCTTACGTGTTTTTCCTCTTCGCGGGAGTGGTCTTGGCCTTCACTCTGTTTACGTATTTCAAAGTTCCAGAAACCAAAGGGAAGTCCTTTGAGGAAATTGCGGCAGAATTCCGAAAGAGGGGTGGGTCAGCCCGCCCACGGAAGGCAGCCACAGAAATGAAATTCCTTGGAGCTGCAGAGACTGCGTAGAGACGACCTGCTTTTTTATGAACAGAAAAAGGAAGGAGCCTGTGTGTTTTTACATGACAATTCTTTGAGACTTGTATATCTCTATCTTGAAGTATTGTTTTATTTTTTTAAAAGAGCTTTTATGGGCGCTGATCAGAAATGTCATCTAATATTACCAAAGAAAGTATTTTTTTTTTTTAAGTTACAGAACTATTTTTGATAGTAAGACTCTGTAATTAAGTAAACCGAAAAGTCTAGCTCATTTCCCTACACTGAAGGGCAAGGACATTCTAATGTTCCTAGTTCTATTCTGTATAAGGAGGTTCTCCTGAAATTGAAGCCGTTTCAATGTATCATATTCTTGCTTCCTTAAGCACGTGACTAGAAACCTGAAGATACCACAGATAATTGCATATTTGAACCTGATTAAGGTGGAATTTTCTCATCCACAGACCTCATACTAAAGGAGATATGGCTAGTGGCAGTAAAGTCCTTTGTAAAATTGATAACTTTTCCATTTCTCTCACTCAGTTTTCTTCCTGTGCATTGGAATTTACATTTCATTTAAAATTTTTATGTTTTCTGTATATTCATGTGGAATAATATATTCAATATATTAAAATATGTTCGTAAAGAAAAACTTTTATTTTTAGTAAGCTTACCAAACTCTTTCAGTGCTTGGAAAAACAAACAACATTTTAGTTCGTTTGGTGACCAAATCGTTTTTTTTAGATTAAACAGTAAAAAAGTTTTACCTGGTAATGTAGCATGGGTTATCAGTTAATATTAACATCTATTATAAATCCCTGTTAAATCACTTTCTTGTTGGTTCCACCCTTTGGGCTATGTTTTGTTTTGCTTTTTAATTGAGCACAGCCTGGTTTTCTGAGCTGTGTTATAAAATAGACTCAGTGAGAAGTCAGGCATTTGGTGTATCTCCTCAAACCCCAATAAACTAAAGCAGGCTAACTTAGGAAATTTGAAGTAAATGATTGCTGTTTTTCAAAAGAAAATATTTTCTGAATCAATATGTTGCTAAACAGGTTGAAAAGGTAGGGTTGGAGAACTCATGAAACTTCATGACTGTTCAATTTCAGACTTGATCAAAATCCCTTTTTAACTTTCCTGGAAAACTGAATTCGCTAACACAAAACTACCCCCTATCGCTTCCCTCTTTGTCTCGGCAATATGCGGATGCTATCTAAGCTGTTCTGCTGCAATTGCCAGCATTTATTGTGCACTGCCTATATGCCAGGCACTGTTCTAAGTGCTTTCACTTATGTAGGCAAATTGAAAATACACTGATGATGAAATAGACTTTCGCTTTACAACTATGGAAATACAGTTCTGATGGATACCAAAGGCTTAGTGGGGCTGTTTTCCTCACAAAGTGGAGCACCGAATCCATCCTTATTACGTTTGCTTTAATGTGCGTAATATTACTCAATACTTGCTTTTTCATTGTTGTTGCTTACCTTTATGTAATTAGGCAGTCCAAATAATGAAATTATTTCTTTTCACTTTGACTGATTTTTATTTCCTTTGGGCCAACTTGGGATAAACTATTTTTACTTAGGACTTCAAGACCGTCCAAGTGAGCTTAAATCGTTCAGGAGACCTTTGGGTGTGAACTCTGGTAGGGAAACATAGGGACTCTGACCAGGGCACAGCAGGAAAATGACTCTTGTGTGGCTCTTGTCTTTTGGATGCTGATGGCCTTTGAGAAGTCCAAAGCTGCAATGATAAAGAAATTTAACATTTTTATAGGTGATGAATGTGATTTAATCAAATCACTATGTCATCTTATTTACTAATGGAATAAAGTGGTAAAGGTTTAATAAAGAACCCCAAAGACTTGTATTTAAATTCTAATTAATTATTTGGATTGATCCACAAGTACCAGAAATTCAGATCCTGAAATTTTTTTGCCTCAGAAAAGTTTAAGTAACTTTATATTGTTTTTCCTCCATATTTTCTTTTTTGCAGACATACAAGTGAGGTGAAGGCGAAATAATAAGCTTTTAAGACTTGATATTAGGACAAAGGAACTAGCTAGACAATAAAAACGCCTAGGTCTTTAATGGTATACATCATCCTATATAATAAAAGTCTAATATGCTAAGTGTCCAGTCGGCCGGTCGGCCATTCAACCAATCAAAGCGTAATATGCTAATGATATGCTAAGGCTCCTCAACCACTCGCTATGACATGCACTGACCACCAGGGGGCAGACGCTCCAACTGGTGGGTTAGCTTGCTGCTGGGGTCCGGCCGATCGGGACTGAGAGAGACAGGCCAGACATGCCCTGGAGCCCTCCCGCGGTGCCTCCCTGGCTGGCCCCAATTGTGCACCGGTGGGGTCCCTCGGTCTGGCCTGCGCCCTCTCGAAATCTGGGTTGAGGGACTCCCCCACTGAGTGCACAAATTTCGTGCACCGGGCCTCTAGTAATAAATAATAAACTTGGCACTAATTAATTAGATTTAATCCCAGGGAAATTAGTAGATGTGAGCTTGAACACATTTTTTGTAGTACGCTTATCATTTTTGTGGAAGTGTTTTCATACTCTAATATCCTTACAAATGTGATTTTTCTCTTGGCTTGTTGGAAGCATGATGACACTTCTTGGTCTGGTCACTCAACTACCCAATCTAGCTGGTACCCACTATCATGACATTAATGCCCGAGTCTTCTCTGCTTAAACACAGTAAGAGAATGACTCCTCCTCAAGGAGCTCACAATCTAATCACAGTTCAGGGAGACCAGGATATAAATGTTCCTATCTGCATCTTTTGCCTTCCGTGAATCTCAATTTAGAGGCCTCTCTTGTAAAATGGGCCCGATAGTGTTACCTACCTCGGAGAGTTGTTGTGAGGATGAAGTGTAAAGTGCCTTGTACAAAGGGGGTGCTGGATAAGTGCTACCTAGAAGTAGTATTAATGATGATACTATTAAGATACAGGATTATCTCATAAGATAGTTCCAATTTATAATTCAAGATAATATTTTCTTTCTTCAAGCAAAAAATCTCACAAAGACAAGGGAAGGTAAAAATCAAGGCAGATTTTAGGCTAATTCCTAAAGTCATACAGTGGGGCCTTGACTTACGAGTGTCCCGACTAACGAGTTTTTCGAGATACGAGCCGTCTCTAGGCCAATTTTTTTGCTTTGAGTTGCGAGCTAAAATTTGGATTATGAGCCAGCTTCAGATACCCCACCGCTAGTTGGCGCAGCGAACGTCACAGTGAACGCCACAACATCAGCCCAGCATCACGTGTCTCACTCGTTCACT